TATAACAAGCAACACGTTTTCTTACCTATTGTAGTAGAACATGCCATTTGCCTTGCGTGCAAAAGTGGAAGCTGAGTTATTGAAAATGGAAAAACAAGGTGTCATTTCAAAAGTAAGTTTCAGTAACTGGTCAAGTCCAATACTCATTGTTCCTAAAAAGAATTCAAAAGATATAAGAATTTGTGTGGACTTTAAAAAGACACTAAATACCATTTTGGAATCAGATCATTGTACATTACCCATCCCTGAGGACATTTTTGCTTGTTTGAGTGGGCAAAAATGTTTTTGTGTAATAGATCTCAAAGGAGCTTATCAACAGCTCCGAGTCAGTGGAAAATCTAAAGAATTGTTAACTATAAACACTCATGTAGGTCTCTATTCTTATAACAGGTTGACATATGGTATTAGTGCGGCCCCAGGAATTTTTCAGAATGTCATGGATACCATCTTGGCAGGATTACCAAACTGTAAAGCTTATCTTGATGATGTCCTGGTTTTTGGAGAAACTTTAGAACATTGCTACAAAAATGTATTTAAAGTATTTAAGCGTTTTCAAGAATATAACGTTAAGGTTAATAAAAACAAATGTAAATATTTTGCAGATCATGTAGAGTTTCTAGGGCATATTATAAATCAACATGGAATCCACCCTACTGATGAAAAGATTTTGTGTTTAAAAAATGCGCCAACACCAACCAACGTAACAGAAATCAAATCGTATTTAGGTTTACTTAATTACTATGGAAAATTTATACCCATGTTATCCACACAGGTTAAGCCGTTATATGATTTATGTAAAGAAGGAGTCATTTTTGAGTCAAACTGGTCGGCAGAATGTCAGAAGGCTTTCAACTTGAGCAAAGAACTCGTTACATCTGATAGCGTGCTGATTCACTATGACCCAAAACTACCCTTATATTTAACCTGTGATAGCAGTGGATACGGAGTGGGTGCTGTGCTTAGTCATAGAATAAACAATGAAGAAAGGCCTATTATGTTTGTTTCAAGTACTTTATCACCAACGGAAAAAAAATATTCAAATTTAGAAAGAGAGGCTTTAGCAATAATGTTTGGCTTAAAAAAGTTTCACAAGTATATTTTTGCAAGAAAGATTGTTTTAATCACCGATCATCAGCCACTGCAATTTATATTTGGACGTAATAAAGGCATTCCAATATCAGCGGCAGCCAGAATTATCAGATGGGCTATAACTTTGGCTAGTTATGACTACACAATAGCTAACGCAGATGGGTTGTCCAGATTATCTATGGACAGTAGTACCGATATCACAGATTCTCTGTTCTCTTTCAACTTGTTAGATGAAATACCCCTCAATGCAGGTGATATTGCTTATGAGACTAAGAAGGACCGGATTTTTGTTAAAATTTTAGATTTTACCAGATTAGGGTTTCCTAGCGAAGTAGAAGATGAATTCACACCTTATTTTAGAAAAAGACAAGAACTCTCAATTGAACAAAATTGTCGAATTTGGTAGTCGAATTGTCATTTTTGGTTAATATAATTATTATTTTCAGCTACTCATTTTCAATTCTTCTTTTTTAGTTGTTTCAGTGATTTCAAATCATTTTATATAGTAGTATTTTCCAGTAAATTTCTAAATATTTTTTTCTTTTCCTAACACCAAACAGCAACATGGCATTTCTAAAGGATTTGAGGAAAACAATTATTACCTGCACTTCATAAATAAATGATGCACTTTTCTAGCAGTGCACTATCAAACACCTGTGCACTTATGAAAATCTCACGGAGGGAATCCTTCTTTCCCCTTCATAAAAAGTTCTTATTAGCACATTCACCTGACTACGTCCTACAAGTACGTAGAAGGCAAAAAGGAATTCTATGCAAATGCGGATAACAATTCACATTATCATGTACTTTTAATGAGCACAGGGGTCATCGTCTTCTTCACGATAAGAGCTTTTGATATGAAAAAAGAAAAACAAACAGACGAAATCGTTACCTACACCAATCTGCGGCCTTTGCGGCCAAACTTCGTCCGGAGGATTGTACGAGGAAGCCGTATGTTATCGCTTTTGATAATTTGGAGGTATTCTCTCGTCCTCTATAAAAGCCGGTCTCTCTAGTCGGTCTTTGTTCGAATGTGAGTTTGTTATTCCTCTTCTGTTACACCTACAATAGGTGAAGATATCGCGCCGGAAGGAGTGTACGAACATGGGCGGAGGGGAAAGCTTTTCTGATGGAAAGTTTTTTTTAAGGACTTGTTGAATAGGAAAACCTGATTTTTCAGACGAATTTGGGAAATTCTCTTTGGAAGGTTCGAAATAGATGAACATTTCAATCTAGCAGACCATTATTATAATATTCATGCAGTCATTGTTCACTGTGGTTCTGGCGTTGAATTTGGTTATTATTACGCCTTGGTCAAAGACGAAACGGACTGGTTTAAGTTTGACGATAGTCGTGTCACGATGTATTGAATCTATTGCAACCTCTGGAGACACCCTACATTTTGTTTAATGAGAGAGAGGATATTGGCAGATGAAGATCTTCAGATGATGTGGTGCTGCAGGTTTTTCCGGGTTGTCATGCAGCTGAAAAAGCAAATGCGCTACTGGAATCAATGAAGTCGCCCCTAAGCGCCAATCAATTTTTTTTGTTGTTTTTATTTTCATCGTTGTTTTATAATTTCTAAAAATATGAATCGAATATTCCCCATATTATAAAGTAAGATATCAAATAAAATCATTTTTGCTATAATTCGATGGTTCGGATGTCGTCGTATAGTCAGTCATCAGTGCACGTGATTGGTGATTTCCATCGATGTTGAGTCAAACGAAACTCACCCCAAAGTTCATAGTGTGTCTGTGAGTTGACAGGTATCGAGTTATTATATATTAATATTGAATAATTTGTTTCAAATTTTTTTTCAAGTCTGATGGTTTCTATACGATTTCTTTCTTCTAATATAAAAAAAGGTGTTATACAGTCTCGCATTCATTTCAGTGTGGTGTGGAAGATATTGTCCTTTGGCAAAGTACAATATCACGTGTTGTGTTGTGTTCAAGGTTGTGCTCGAATTTCGATGAAGTCGACGAAAGCCGTTTTTGCCTGGTACTGATTGGCAAAGGTTTCACTGGTGAGAAAGTTATCGAAATGCTTGAAAAGATTGTAGTCGATTAGCGATAGGTTTGGGGGGTATGGTGAGCGAGACAGAACTTCGAAGCTGAATCCGATTGATTTTCGGACGATGATTTGTGAGATGTGCAGACGGACTTTGTCGTGGAGCAGGATCGGACTTCGTTTGTTAACCAGTGCTGACGCAATTTTATGTACATCTTGTCTATTTCCTCAGAATAGGAATCTGCTGTGATGGTTTGGCCCGGTTGCAGAAAGTTATAACGATTCACACCCACGACAGACCACCATACAGTAATCATGGTCTTTTTTTGGTGAGTTTTGGCCAGTGCCTGGATGGCTCATCGGTGTTCAACCACTGCTCTGAACGTTTCCTGTTGTTCGATCATCTTCGGTTCAGACAGGATGGAGCCTGACTCCCTTACTCTTTCGGCTGGCGTTTGTTCGAAGGACAAATGGGGCATAGTTTATTTAGGGGATGGCGGCACGAATGTGATCAGACAGCAGTACAGCCTATCACGGTTAACCCCTGCCTGGCTGAGGTGAGTGGTTGAGGAAATTGTTCATCCGTTAACAGGGGACATAAGGGCCTCATTCGACAGAGTGTCGGGGCCTTCTAAATCGGGAGGGGTTTTCTACAGCATAATCTATAGCTTCCCCAACTGAATTCTTACCTAAATAAACTTCTCCTTTTGTCGTAGAGAAGTTACTTTTTATCACATGTGATGATCCGATGAATCGTATTTGTTGCGCAAAAGCAAGGAACAAACCTCACAGCCTGACAATTTTTGTCGTTCGTTCAAAATGCGAGGACCCAATTTTTGAGCTCTTTGACCTTTCTAATACATTTTAAACAATCATATAGAAAAAAATTAACAGCATTAATACCACGACATAGTAGAATAATTATTTATTGAGATATGACATTGAAACGGACAAAACTTTTGAAACAGTCTAATAGCAAAATAAACAAATTTGATTACGTTCTTCATGTAAATGTATGATTTGTAACTTCTTTAGAGCTTGAGGAAAGCAGCCTTGAATGAAAGATTTATTCATAAGATAAGTTAATGATGGTTCGTCATAACCAGTTGACTTGTTGTTATTATATGTAAAGCGGCCAACCTGGTTCGCTGAACTTGGTTCGGCGAACCAAGTTCTTGGTGCGTCACTCCCACACACAGTGGAGGGAAATGTGAACAACGGTTCGACTTTTCAACAATTTCATTCTAGCAGTTGGAATGAGTTCTTCGAAGATTGCAGCTGCTATTGATGTATTATATGAGCTTGGGAGTTTTACAAGGAGGAAGAAAAAAGATCGCGTTGGTTATTTTTTATTAGAACTTGTAACACCTTTTGTATCAAAACAACTCACATGAGAAAGTCGATATCAGCCGAACATTGGCTCGTTTCTACACTTCACTACCTAGCTACTGAAAGAAACTTTGAGGACTCAAAGGTTTCATGCGCCATATCACCACAAGCACCGGGGAAACGGCAAACAACGGTTCCCCTCTTCCACACACCGAGGAACCTGGTGCGCCCTGCCGGTGAACCGTTGTTTTCCAACCCGATGTTAGACCAAGTTCGTGAGAAATTGTGGCGATCTTGGTTCGTTAACCATCACACACAGGGAACAAATGATGAACATGGTTAGTGCGAACCAAGTTTGACAAACCAGGTTCCCATGTGTGTAGGCCGCTTGAAAATAAAATGATCCCTGGCATTTGTGTTTTATCTACTTGACAGGTCAAATCATCCTACGGATGGTTTGACGTTATCCTTGATTGGTCCCAAAATGATTATCATGTTGGGTAAGTTGAACTATAATGTAGGTATATTGTTGAACGGATCCTTCTTCCCCCAAACATAGCCCCGTTCGGCGTCGCTGTCCCGAATTCCCATACACCCATTGTACCCACCGTACCATGTCAGGAATACAGTGATAAAACAAAGTTGGCGGAACCGGTGATACGAACGAGCGCACAACAAACTACGAGCGCCTAGCATGCCATGAGAAAAAGCGAAATGAATTCGAAAAGTATGATTAGTATGAAAACAAAGGTGCGCGAGGCGACAAACAATGCCGTAGTACTAAAATTGAGAAGTGTCGAACGATAATGGAATATGTGTTTTCGTTCGATTTCGGCAGTGGGATTGAAAACAGTTTTTGGATTTTAGTGGTTTTGCCAGCTGTTGTACAATGTGGACTTTTGAGTGCGTGGATTTCAGTAATCGGTGAGTGCCGATAAGATTCTTTTCAAAACTTGAGAATAATTGAGGCACAACAATAACAAAATAGAATGCTCTTGGAACATGTTTTCAATATTTCGTCAGTATTTTATTATTGATTCATCAATGAAGACATTACAAGAGATGCAAAAAGTGTCAACCGATAATGATGTTTACAAAAGGCAAGCTCAAACTGTGCTCTGCGTTGCGCTCATAAATATTTGATAAAAGATAATCTATCTTATAACTTGTTGATGAAGCTTTAACGTAATGATAAATGATAAAAAATTATGACATTTTGGATGAAAATCTGAAATAGATATGAAGACTATGAAGACACATTCCTAATTAATAAAAAGCCGTATTGCTAGCCTTTTAAAATTTAAATGCCTCCTCTATTTCACTGTATAATGCTAGCGTTGAATACTGCTGTTTCTTTTTCTTCTCATAGATGGAAAAGAAAACAAATTTCTATGTGATGAGATCAAAGATTCAATCATATGGGTGGTTATTTTTTAAGCATTGTACAGTTCAATGTTTTTATGTATATTTTTATTCTGTTATACGAGTAGAGACTGGGTAGATACTTGTGTTTCATAGCATGAATATTTTTTGTGAAGGAATCAACGTTTCTTGACGTTTTTTGAGTAACCCGAAAAATGAATGAATCAAAATTGACATAATCTGATCTATTGTACCAAACCGAAGAGTTTTCTTTTTCAAAAAGTTACTCCATAATGAAGACATGAAAAAGTAGTAGGTAGAGTCCAGCAATGCATTTGTGGTTCAACCTAGTACCACTGAAGAGACTTACATGAAACAGCGTTGCCTGGTGTTGGATCATAAATACGCTGTGTTTAGGCTCAGGTTTTCAATCTGAAAAATTGTCTTATTAATATTAGTAGATATATATTTTCAATCTATTCCTTGAAAATTATATTTTCCCCAGTAATTTCAAAATAGGTTCTGTATTGTATATTTTTATTCTGTTATACGAGTAGAGACTGGGTAGATACTTGTGTTTCATAGCATGAATATTTTTTGTGAAGGAATCAACGTTTCTTGACCTTTTTTGAGTAACCCGAAAAATGAATGAATCAAGATTGACATAATCTGATCTATTGTACCAAACCGAAGAGTTTTCTCTTTCAAAAAGTTACTCCATAATGAAGACGTATGAAAAAGTAGTAGGTAGACTCATTTTTTGAGGACAGTTGAGTCCAGCAATGCATTTGTGGTTCAACCTAGTACCACTGAAGAGACCTACATGAAACAGCGTTGCCTGGTGTTGGATCATAAATACGCTGTGTTTAGGCTCAGGTTTTCAATCTGAAAAATTGTCTTATTAATATTAGTAGATATATATTTTCAATCTATTCCTTGAAAATTATATTTTCCCCAGTAATTTCAAAATAGGCTCTGTAACAGCTTCTTTCATCTTCTCTTATTGAAAATTTCAGCTTTTTAGTATGAGCTCATATTTTAAAATCTCTAACAAAGAATACAGTCAGTTGAAGTGGGAACTCTTGTTCTGATCATTTCGTCCTAACGTCAGGTATACCTCAGGACAGTGTTTAAGGCGCTTTGCTTTTTTCCCATTTTCATCATTTATTTTTAAATAATCTATAGTCGAATGATGTCCACGATGACATTCACCAAGTCCGTAATTTTCAGAACAATGGTTTTAGTGATGTACGATTGTCGTAATGAGTTGATAGAGTTCACTTATTTTTGACGCAATTGCAGTTGACTGTCTCAGAAAATCAGCCTGTGAAAATTTTTAGCACAATTTTGAATTTCTTACATATATTATATCATTAGTTTGATGCCCGATCAGAAATATATGTAGTCCCTTCTTGATAATTCTGGAATCGTTCCTCTTCAATGACGTTTAGGAAATAACGTTGGCATAACTTAATATTTTCATTGAGCAAGAAATGTCATCAAGACCGGGTGACTGCTTACACATTGCATCATTACTGCGTTGGTTGCAAACTCTATGATAAGGAATATCGAAGTTAATGCAGAGCTAATCGTATTATCATCAGATAGTTTCGCTTGTGATTCAACATGTACTCTTGATAAATAATTAGGAAATAATTCAACAATCTTGTCTCACTTGTTTTTCGATTTTTGTTCACATATGATATTTTACTAGTGCTATATAGTTGAGTTTTTGTTATTGAATGTTTTCTTTTTGTATGCAAAAATCAAATATTGGGTAAGTGAGCTATGTTCATATATAATAATAAACTCTGCCATTTGTCCAATGTGTCATTCTACCCAAAATTTTGTTAAGATCAAAGAAACACTTCTTACTGATACCTTTATACAAAGTATTATTATAATTTTTGTATATCTCGTAGAAGGAGATGTCATCGCTTTTACTTTCAAGCTTGTTTTTTTTGGGACATTTCAGTGGTTATCAGCCTAGCACCACTGATGAGATCTTGGCGGGTCGAAACAGTGCTGTTTGATGTTGGATCACAAGTTCATCTTTGTATATGTGTACGATATACATAGCTGTCCTCTGTTCAGCAGGTGAAAGTCAAAGAATTTCAATTTAATACTGTTAATGTAGATGTGGATGGTATAAGGTACGATATTGGTCCCCAATATCGTACCTTATAGCATACCTACTTATTTCCCACGTGGATCACTGATATCATTATTAACTTTGACACATGTCATTACTAGGAGTAGATACTGTTTCAGTTGAACGGTACAATACAATTCAGATGCATTTCTGTGAATATTTTTTTATATTTTGAGGCCCTAATGTTGAAAGTAACAAATATATTTCCAGGTACCTATATATTTTCAAAAAATATCTGATCTGAATGAACATCTCATGAACACAATTTTTCATCGCTTACTCAAACTATATCAATAATAAGTAAATAATCAATTTCACGTCCTAGATTTACAGAAATATCAGCACAAGCGTATGCAGGTAGTTACCTCGAAAAAAACGTGAATGAAATCAACAATGGTTCTTTGTGCATTCAATCCTCTAATCTCGACTAGCACGAAATTCCGTTTTTTGTTATCCGAACAATATAGCAGTTTTTCTCGTATTTGCAGTTCTACAAAAAATTACTGTAGCATTATTCATTTCGAGAAACAGTTCGGAGTTCGAAAACTATTTTGTGCTTATATTCAGGATTTTGTTTCACGTGCATTGTGATGCAAATAATCCTTTGACGACATTTTGTTCTAATTTTGCTAATCACTCGGGAGTTCACACTAGTATGTGGTTCAAAAAATGTATGATACAAGGATCATCTGGATAAATGAAAAACAGAAGATGGGCGTCGAGGTCTTGGGAGAGGCCGAATTTGAATGTGGTTGGGGCCCCCAACTCCAGAGAAGATCCATAGTCCTGGTGTTCATACGAGACAAAAAATGAAAGGGAGACATCTCTCTTAATATGAAGGAAAGAGGAAAAGTAATGGAGATGTCTCGACGTTTCTTTTAGACAAAAGGTCCACCGGGGTTTTGGAGAGAGACATGCTTAAATCCAAATATAAATTGATCGTGAACACCTTCCAGGTCCTGAAGAGACTTGAAGGAATATTAATTGCAAAACAAGTCAACCTACAACAGAGTAAGGGGTCTCTGAAGTTCTACAAACATTATGTGGGAGCTTGCAAGAACCTAGGTTGCACAGGTAAAAAAAAAACTGGAGAAAGAGAAGAATCGGGGTAGTTAATTTATAACAGAACCTCAGAGACTTCAAACGAGAGACTTTTACCGTCAAGTCTCCCGTTTAAAGTCTTCGATACTAGGGCTTGTCGGATTATTTTTGTGTATGGCTCTCCAGATTCCTGAAATAACGTTCCCTGCAAGTGGCCGTCGATTGATATCTCTCAATTACTTTAACCATCAACGTTGGTGTTTCCTAGGAATCCATATTGTCACCAACCCTCTTTTTATTGTATGTCAACAACTTATTGAAAAAACGAAGAATCCAATATATTGCTTTGCTGACGACAGCACACTTGTCTCGTCATTTCATTTGGATTTCAAGACAGCGGCTGCGGATGCACATTTCCACCAGCAGCAGGAGTTTGCATGACTTAATGAGGATCTGGAAGTAATTTCGAATTGGGGTGGAACTAACCAGGTACATTGCCACAAAAACCCAGACATCGGCATTCTCCAAAAAGATAATGGTCTCCGTACTTGAATATAATACTGTCAGGACAGACAATTCCGCTTTTTGCTTCGATTAGTTTGTTGGGGGTTAAAATGGACACCAATATGTCTTGGCACAATCATGTCCCTGGAATTGCAAAGGCCGCTTCTCAAAAGCTTGGAACACTGTTCCGAACCGGAAAACTTTACACACCTCAGGAACTTTTGATGATTTATAAAGCTCAGGTCAGACCTTCTTTGAAGTATTGTTCTCATGTGTGGAGCTCCGCCTGAGGCTGCTGGATTCCATTCAGAAAAGAGCCATCCGCCTGATTGGTGACACGAACAACACTTGCAACCTTGATTATCCGGAACATGAAAGAAAGGTTTTAGATTTATTTCTCGTCTATAGATATTTTCACGAGAAGTGTTCAAGTGACTTAGCACATTTGATTCACCAAGAGCGGTACATACCAGAAATACGCCACGGACTGTGGCTGCTCATCGTTTTGAAGTTCAACTCAGTACTTTAAGGTTCAACAGCTCTTTCAGTTGGAGAGCTGTGTTTATGTGGAATTACCTTCCGGAGAACGTTTTTCCAGATGTATTTAATCTCCAGCGATTCAAATCCACAAGCGATCGATATTAGGCAACTAGACAGGATTCAAAGACTGTTTGGAAATAATGTTGACAATGAGAACCACACCAACAGCAGTCGCTATTTCATGGAAGTGATAACGAGATAGGCAAGAGTAGTCAATTGAGTCTAGCAAATTCACCAAGGTTCCAGTGAGCTAATACAGAAATTGTGGAATATCAAACATGTTTATGGATCACATGACATCAAAGTACAAACCGTGATGAATAGT